ACTGTCTTGGAGTATGATGTGAAGGTATTGTACAAGACTGGAGTGGATCATTGGTTGATGTCCCTAGTTGAATCAGAAGTGTTCTAACTTATCATATGGGATAATGATGAGGAAAGAATGTCTTGGATTATGGAGTGTCTATCTTGTACTCAGCCTAAGGTCAGAATACTTGTGGAGATGTGGTCTCTTCTGCTACAAGTAACTCTAGGAAGAGGTGGATCAGTTTGGTGCCTTCTTACTGTATGAGCATGGAGTTGGTCATGAGAGATAATGTGGTGATCTTGGAGCAGCTTTTATAAAAGATAGGGGGAGAGCTTATGTCTGATGGGTGTACTAGTTACATATGGTTCAAGCAGTAAGTGAATGCGTTCAGCAGATGTGTTGAACAAGGAGTGAGCTCTTGAAGACATGAAGATGAGTCTTATGTTTTCCATTCACGTGCTTCTGGAAATAGAGCACTAGTTATCCTTGGTATGGGGAGGTATACTTCTATCTAGGATATGTTGCTGCAATGGTACAGTTGTGTCTCAAGATTGCTTGTGGCTTCAAGCAGTTTGTGACTGTATGCCTCTAGGAGGGTGGAATGTCATACCAGGTGTTATGACATTGTGTTACTGTCCATGATGAACTTAACAGTGGTTCTGCTCTTGGCTCTCTCATTGGGTAGAAATGGATCAAACCAGGGTTTTGAGCCTCTCTCTCCAAGTGTTGTGTCTTGTTTGACAGGTAAAGATGAAGATCAAGACACCATCAGCCTTGATCTTGTGCATAAGGAAAGACTTTCACTATGTCATCTTCGAGAGCCTTTGTCAAAGCTGAAATCTGAGAAATCTTCCAGATAGTAATCCTGCAACTACTTCTGATATTGGTTCCAGCATGGCTTGTGAAACAAGGGGTGCAAAGTTGCATGTGTTTCCAGAATGTGAACATGAATATGTTGAAGTGATACTTCATATGTTTGGATTCTCTCTTTCAGGGGGAGTAATGTGTATGCATGACAGAGGAAGATGTGAAGCTGCTGATGTGAAGCCCTGTACAAAGTTTGTTGATTCTCAGTGTCACTTCTGAAGGTGCAGCTTCAGACAAGACAAGAACCCAAGATTCAAGACTGATTCAAGGTGTACTCTCAAGGAGCTATGGTTCAGGGCTGATTTTACACTGGTTGAGTGATTTCAACAAGGAGGTTAAGTCATTGTCCATGATTGCTGGTGCAGTCTTTAGAGATCAAGAAATGGCAGACTTGGTCACCATGTGCAGTATGTACAATTACTCCAATTTTTGTCAATTTTTGGCTAAACCAAGGGGGAGTAAAAGTGTTGCTATCTGTTGCAACTATCAAGGGGGAGCATGATAGTGCGTGTGGCTGGAAAAACTATTGTTGCTGCCCTGATAAGGTATTTGGTTGTTTTAGTCAAAATTTGCCAAAGGGGAAGATTGTTAGTTCCATGGTTCTATGATATAGAATTGTCCATGGTTCTAAGATTGGCTAAATTTTGGTAAAACATGATCTTGCATTAATGTCTCCATCTGCTGTGGTGACAGAACTGTTATGGAGTGTTTTAATGGGAACGTCATGCTGAATGTCGTGACATCCATCACGACATCCATCTGCTATCATGACAGAACTACTGTCATGTGTTATAAATAGCAGAAGTTGTGGTGTAGCAGGAGCTGATGACATAACTGATGTCATGGATGTAGAAGGAGATAGCAGAAGCAGATGACAGAACTGATGTCATGTGTTTTAAACAGGATGTCATTACCAAGGTCATGACATCACTGTCTGGTGCAGCAGGAGCTAGCTGGAGCTGATGACAGAACTGCTGTCATGGATGTCATGACATCAATGTCTGGTACAGCATGGGCTGCTATGTTATATCTCTTGACAGAAGTGTTTTGGTCCTGTTGGAAATTCCTCATCAGTATGTACAGGCCAAAGAGATTCATTAGGAACAAAGTGCAGATTGAATTGGTGTTCATAAAAAGGATCTTGGAGACTTTTTAGGAAACTATAAGATGCTTGTTTCTACTGTTGTGAAGAAGATTCTGCAGAAGTGCTCAGCAGGGGGAGTCTGGTCAGCTAAGAGTAAGTGAAGCTGAATGTCATAACTGAATGTTATGACATTGATCGTATAACATCAGGCGTGCAGGGTTTATTTTTCTGATATGATACCTGATATATCTCAGGCTAAATTTCAGGAAACCTGTTATGCCTCCTTAGCTATCTCAGGCGAGATTCTAGTCAAGGCTGGACATAACTTGAAGCAGTTGTGACCTAATTTGATAGCACCTTGAATTGTGGAAATTAGGTTTACTTTGTTAAACCTAATGTTTGTTACTTGTGACTAGCCCAAGCCCAGTTTGCATTGCTATAAAAGGAGGAGCAGAAGCAGAAGAAATCAAGAACTCACATCAAGAAAAACTTGAGTGTAAAATAAAGGTCTAGGGTTTGAGAGTCCCTTGTGTATGTAAGTCACCCTTTGTATCTTTGGATGCATTGTGGTGGAGATGTTTAGACTGTTAGGTCTTATTTGTGAGTGAAGAACTTTGGTCTTCACGTGAGTCTAGAAGTCTTAGGATTCCTTGCGTGCCAAGCAATTGTAGGTTGTATGATTGCTCTGGTTTATTGTGTATGAACAGGTGTGTTCATTGTGTCACTCCAAGCTGTTAAGCAAGTGTGTGTGTGTGTGTCACTTGATCAAAGCTGTGAAGCAAGGTCAAGGTGTGTTTTTGGAGTGTATCTCCATAACTGTTTTGTAATTGTGAATTGTATATCACTGTTGTGATTGAGGGGGAGTGAGTGGGTATACTCAGGTCTAGAGTGTCTCTAGGCAGAAGTGCCATTAGGTAGGTTTTAAGTGAGGAGTGCAAACTGGGTTGTTTGACTCTGAATTAATTCTGCTAATAGTGTATTTCCTCCCTGACTTGGTAGCCCCCAGATGTAGGTGATGTTGCACCGAACTGGGTTAACAATTCATTGTGTTATTTATCTTTCTGCATTTACAATTCTGCATAATTTAAATGATTAGATAAATAGGTCTGTCAGCCTGCTGATGTTACAACAGACGTCATGACGTTGGTCATGGCATTGGGACAATTTAAAGAAATTTAAATTGGTCATGGTCTGTCCTCGTCCTTGTTGAGCAGAGATCAATGTTCTTGGAACATATCAGATCTGCATACCAGAATTTCATTATGTAGGAAGTTATTAGCAAGAAATTGTGTGAAAGATGATAATAGTTGTTCAAAAGAAGTTATTGTTTAAAATAAGGGTAAAATCGATAGAAAATTAGGCTACACTAAAAATCAAGTTTTGTCTTTATATATGTTATAGATTATAGATAATAAGAGAAAAAAATATTTGTATTTCACAAATATAATATTATTTTATTTTAGTGAAAATTTTCTAAATCATAAATGTCATAGATACTGTTTGAACGTTTATTGAAAATTTGATATAAAAAAAACCCACAAATATGAAAAGTAAATTTTAGATTTAAGGTGTGATTGATTGTAAAGAGAGTGAGAAGAGAGAAATAAATGAGAGAGTATGTGAGAAGAGAGAAATAAGAAAGAAGTAAAGATGATTTATAAGGTTGCTTGTTATAAGAGGAATATGAGAAGAATAGAAGAGAAAGAAATGTGTACAATTTTGAAAAGACAACTATTCTTACTTTAAAAATATATAAAATATAATATATTTAACTTCATTAAAAGAATACAAGGACAAATATAAAATAAAGCAAAAAACTTGTTTCCCTTTCTCCTTTCTTTTCATTTTGGATGTTTCATTTCTCTTATTTGGTTTGGTGAGAAATAGAGAAGAGAGAATAAAATTATGTAGATCCATTACTTTTCATAATCTCTCCTAAAATAAGAAGAAAGGAGAAAGAGAATATACTATATTTTATATATTTTTAAAGTAAGAATAGTTGTTTTTTTTATTTTAAACACCTCTTTCACTTCTATTTCTCTCATATTTTTCTTATAATAATTCCTTCTCATTTTCTCTTTACAACCAATCACACCCTTTAGAAGAGATTAGAAAAAGTAATAAAACCCACATAGAGCAAGTTATAAAACAAAGACAAATTTAATCCGAAATTCGTAGTTTGACATTTTTTCAGATAGGTCATAAGTTTTTTTACTTTTTTGATTTATTTTTTTATGTTACACTATATTTGCACATTGACCTAGAAATCATATTCATAGTTTAACAATGTTAACCATATTTTTTATCCCACATAAACAAATTATTGTATTTAACGAATTCAAACCATACTCATTAGTGAAGTAATTTAAATATAAGATTTCTATTTATCTCAATATTAAAATACTAAAAAAAAGTATTAAATCACATTCTGACCGTGCAAATATAATGCAACACAAATGATCCATGTTTGAAAAAAAAATATTAAATGTCTCACATATTGATCGTGCAAATATAATGCCACATAAGTGATCAATTTAAAAATAAAATAAAAAAAAGATCAATTTAAAATATAAAAAAAAACAAACAATTGTTTTGTCCTAGACCAACAAAAAAAAATTAAAGACCTATTCAAGAAAAATGGTCAAACTTAAAGTAACAACCCCAGAAAATGGTTATAAATATTAAGGCGTAGTTTGGCCTAAAATAAAATACTTAATCTGGTAAGAACAGCAGCCATTTGATAACTTCCAAAGAAGTAGTCCAATGACTCACTCTCCTCTGGGTATGCTCTTTTCCTTGTTGCAATTTTTTCCAAAATGGAAATCATCCCCCAATAGTACAAGTAGAAAGAATTAAAAAATAGGGCCGACAAATAACATAAAAAAGAATAGAGGAAACAGAGAAATCCCAAACAGCCTCATGGATTATGAACAAAATGAATGCAGTGTAACCTTTGGGACAAAAAGCCTTGTTCGACCAATTTAATACCAGCTTCTGAAGCAGTCTCTTATATTTTGCATGCACACTTGTAAACATACTCACAGATATAGAAAAAGATAAAGAGAGGTTAATTTGCTGTTTCACCAGCAGGTCCAGCTCGGGCAGTTAACAAAGGTTGAAGAGCTTTGACTACAATGCTCATGTTAGGTCTGAAATCAGCTTCATATTGCACACACAACGCAGCAACAGCAGCCATCTGTAATTAACCCGGCATCAAGGTGTTATAACAGAACATTATTCTTAATTAAGTCAATAACTGGGTGTGGTTCCTATAAAGGTTCCCACAAAAAATACTAAAAGACAGTAAACACCTTAGCAACAGCTTTTGGTGGGTATTCTCCTCCTAGTCTTGTATCAACACACTGCCTGACTTTATCCTCACTGAGTTTTGGGGTAGCCTGAAACACATCAATTGAGATCAGCAAGGATTTAGAGTGGATAATAGATAATAATAGAGAAGCTTAGGTTCTGTTTCTTTTTTTTTTTCTGTTGGAAAATGGAAGGAGGTGTAAAGATATAGCATAAATTCGTACCCAGGTAACCAGACTCTGCTGTCCACGTGGTAGTGTATGATCAACAGGTTTCCTTCCTGTCAAAAGCTCCAGAAGGACAACACCAAAACTGTATACATCACTCTTAGCATTCAATTGTCCAGTCATTGCATATCTGCATCCACAAGATTAGGCATAATGTTTAGTAGTTGAAGCTTGAACACTAAATATAAAACAGTTTTCTCAAATTGATACTAAGATATAGAAACACAAAACATAGGAATTGGTCATTCATGCATATCCAGTCAACTGTGGTATAAAGGACATTTTATATGGCTTTTCCAATAATTCTTCTGCATTCACACTAAAAAAAGGGGTCCATCATATCCAATAAGGATAAAAAGAAGCATGTGATCTGACATGTAACTTGAAATCTTACTCAGGCGCATGATAACCAAAGGTTCCAAGGACACGAGTGGAATGAAGACGTGCAGCCATGTCTGGAGCCTGATTTGACAAATCAAAATCTGCAATTTTTGCAACATCATCTTCAAAGATTAGCACATTGCTTGACTTGATGTCCCGATGAATAATATGGGGATCAGCCTTCTCATGCAAGTATTCAAGCCCTCTTGCAGCCCCTACAGCAATTTTTACTCTTTGTGCCCATGTCAAAACTGGACCGGGTTGTGCTCCTTTAACCCCTTTTCTGCCTACATGGAAAAAGACAATGATGGAAACATTTACATACAGTACAAATACAAACTAATCTAATAGATATCTCAAGGAGGAGATACATTGCCACTCGACCAATGGTTATCAACATTAATACTTTTCAAACATGACCAACTGAAAGAAAAAATCATTTACCATGTAAAATGTCATGAAGAGAACCATTAGATGCAAACTCATAAGCAAGAATACGGGAGTTTCCATCAACACAGTATCCAAGCAACTGGACAAAATTATCGTGTTTCAGCCTTGACACCATAGAAACCTGAAAGCTCAGAAAATCACGAGGTCAGTAAGAGAATAACTTCAATGCCCTAACAAAAAATACTGAGCCAAGGTTGTAACACATGTATACCTGGGCCAAGAATTCCTCATCAGGCTGTTTACTGGCATCTAATTTCTTGATTGCTGCAGCCTGGCCATTCTTAAGAACTCCATAATAAACTCTTCCATACGATCCCTCTCCAATCAGAGAATCTTGTCCAAAGTTATCTGTAACTTCTTTTAGTTCATCAGCCTGTATCTCCGGAACTTCAATGGGCTGCACTTTAACAGTCTGAGCTCCCGGTTTTGTAGACTCAGAAGCATGGTAGTTTCCATCATTTCCTGAATAGTAGAATTTATCAGTATAATTTCATCGAGTTCACATCAAGTAATATAATCAAACAGATAACAAAGTGAAGTATTGTAAACAACATCCAAATGATATATTATGAGTCCAAATGGAAATATTATTAAAAAATACATGAATTCTCTTGAGTTGCTAACTATATATATCATCATCCCTGATGCAACCCTCTAGCTTATGAGTCAAATTACCTGCTGGGTTTTTTACAATATATGGTCCACTCTCAGCGACCTTGTGGAACTCATCCTCTCCGCAACAGCTGAAACAACTCATGATTCTTTCCTAATAAAATTAATTCATAAGCCAGTCAGATGAAGATATAGTCCACTAAAAAACAATAACACTTCCATGTAGATTCTCATTGCAAGAAAGTACGTACATCCTAGTGATCTTACAACTTCAAACAATTCAAATAGAAAGAAATAAAGAAGCAAATATTGCAGTTGTGTGAATTTTCTGCACAATCACATTGAGTTCTATTATTAAATTTTAAGTCAACATAGCTTCATTGCATTCACATGGTACAAAAAATTGATCATACAAGATGCTTCCACTCAATTAATTCATATATTAGCTAAAATTCGCAACAATTTTACCTACCTTTCAGAAATCAATGCCATGAAAAACAAAAAATTCTAAATTGTTTGCATAATATCATCATCTTGAACAACAATTTCACAGCGTGATATTAACGTAACGTTCTGTTACAATTTGATAAAACTCAATGCGTCAGTTACATAACTCAAATCCAGTGAAGCTAACGAAACCAGATCGAATCAGTTTACGCCAATCAGACAAACTGCTATCAAAATTCAAGCCAGTAGTTACAGATCGATCTAAAGCAAAATCAAAATTCAAAAAAAAATAAAAAATGCTCATCCATGACTCAAATTATTGAAAAAACAAAGTCGATAAAACTCGATTACGAAAACGAAAACAACATGTAGATTTTCAACTACAAAAAAATTGCAATAGTAAAGTAGGTGAGAATGAAGATTATGATAGATCGATGAATACCTTACCTGAAACGAAACGAAAGTGCGAAATTGTTGAGATGAGAGTCTCGAGGCGTTGGATAGTGAAGTACACGAAGGAGAAGATGCGTAGTGTTGAGTGTTTGAGCTCACGAAACGGTGAAAGGAGCGCAGGATAAGCAGAGAGGGTGCGTAGAATAAAGGAGAGGTCGAGGTACAGCAAAGCTTTTGACTCGCTTTGAGTTGGAATAAGAACTTTGATTATTATTGTGAGAAAACTAATTGTGTTAAGTACTAGTGTATACGATATAGTGGATTTTTATTACACCAATAAAATACGTATATTTCGGACACTTTTTTCTCTCCTTTTACGTGTTTTGCACCGAGTTTGGCTGGCCAGACTTGACCTCTTTGAGACTGGGCATACACGGTTACACCGATACACTATTATTTTGGTAAAAAAGGAATATTTTGTTGATAAATGTAAAAGATTTAACTTTTGTAATTATGGTATAAATCTGTTTTTATAAATGTATTTAACTAAATAACTTATTTTTTCTGTGCGAAATTGTAATTTCCCTTAATTGTATGTTTTTTTTAGATTGAATCTGAACTCAAGAGTTACCATTTAATTGAAGAAATAAATTATCATCTCATTTCTTATAATTTTAGTGACAGTTTAATTAAGCCTGACATTCTTATTCAAAAAAATTCATAATTTTAGGGACAGTTTTATTCAGTCTGACATTCTTATTGAAAAAAATTCAGTGAAAAAAAAAACTCTTTCAATCCCAACATTTCTAAGAAAATAAATATTTTGAGTTAGTTTTTCAAAGAAAATTTTAGAAATGATTTAAAAAATTGCAAGATTATCATGTGAACAAATTTATTAAATGTTTATATCATAATTCTTCTTAAAATTATGAACGGAAAAGATTTTTGCAAACGTAAATTTTTCTCGATCTTTTTTAATATAACGATTTTTCAACTAAGTAATACTTACATTATAAAGTCGAATATATGTTATGTTATCTTATAGGTACAATGAACATAAAAGTTAATTAGTTATGTAAATGTAAATTATTTGTCAGATCTTTATATTGATAGATCATAAACATGTTAGTTGTTTAGATGTGATGACATACCTATTTCATGCATATGTGTGAAACAAAACACAACAACATCATCAAATGATGTTGAATATTTAGCACTACACGACACATTTAAAAGCTATGTATAGTTGAGATCTATAATCTAGTTCCTATTACAAGAGATATTCTTTTGAAAACCAAACCACAAATTTTTTGTATGTATTAGTTGATTTAATGATATAAACAACTAACATGTTTGTGATTTTTTATATTCATTATACCTATAAGATAGCAAAGCATATGTTTGACTTTGTTCTAATAATATTTGCATGTAGTTAAAGAACTACATGATGCTAATATATTGTCAAAAAAGATGTATGTGGACATGTATAATTAGAAAGATACATTAATGATCATCGAATCGCATTAGGATGTGATACTTTAAAACCAAGTAATTTATTCATTGAATCGCACTATTAATCTCTAACTATCGCACTATTGGTCTCTAACCATAAGAGTGCACAACAAATGAGATTTTTTCATTTAAAAATGTTTTAGCACTTTCTCTATATAAGTTTAAGGATGCAAAAATTATTTCATTATTTAAATGTTCAATTTGTAATTCTAAAAATAAAATTTTTAAAAAAAAAACTTTATTTTTTTCCAAATTATTCATTTCAAAATTTTTTTTCTTAAAGCAATTAATAGCTTTTTGAAGCTATTTAAGAGTTTTGATAATATTTATATCATCAACAAGGATTTGGATCTTCTATAGCGGCCAAACGGTCACGTTCAATCTCAACAACTCATTTTGATTTAATATAAAGAATCAACAATATTAATCAATGCATATACGTTTGAGATCGGAGCAGCATGGAAAATACGAGAGATGGACCATGAAAGGACCTGCTTCTCATTGACATTGATAACAAATATAATAAATTCATTCCAAAAAAAATTCATAAAATGTATGAACAGATGAAACTATTTTTATATTCACTCCTTAGCAAATATCCGTTGAGGTGATTATATCACATGTATTCAGATTGTTTTAAGTCATAGAGAAACTTATTTAATTTAATAAAGTGGTCTTCTCAAGATCCAATATGACGTGTCTCATGTAAAAAAAAAATTTAGAGAGTTTCATGTAAATGTCACAATAAAGTGAGATATAAAAATAAGTTATAATAATATATATCATGGGCAAATTTAGTCCTTCATGTTGTTATCCTGGAAATTCTAGTTGGAGAAAAGTCAACAAAGAATGCTAATAGCTACGGTAAAAATGCTAAGTGTCAAGAAGCCTCAAGCTTCTACATATTAACCACGTCGACTGAGTTGTTCGACTAGCATGGTAAGCATGGTTTGAAAGAATCTCAAGAGCAGATGCACAAGATTAGAATCACACTCTCTTCAATAGTATATAATGCAAATTTATGCATTGTAGTCGGGGTCACAAATTCTCACTGATTCTCTATATAACCAAAGTGCGCAAGTCATACAGCGAAACGATTTGTGAGAAATGTGATTTTGCGTCTATCTTTTAAACTTTCTATAAATATTTTTATATTTCAAAGCATTTACATTAAATGTCATTTACTTCATTTACTTTCTTTATCATTTATTGTCTTTACCCAGAGTTTATCTTTTGCATTCAATTGGTCACAATCCAATTGTGTAAGACCAAATTGCACACACTTTTCAATATAACTTTCCTTTGCATAGATTGTTTTTGACATTTTTCGAGTTAATCTCTTAAGTGAACTAAACTCGTGATTGTTTAACAAAAACACTAGTAAATAAATTGGCACACCTGGTCTGACCATTTTGTGCAAAATCTAACTTTTAGTAAGAAATGTGTTACAAATTACTACAAATTTCATTTCTTTAAATGAGAAAATGTTTTCAATGTCTAGGTTTTTATGCGTTTAAGAAATGGTAAAACTCTCGCTAAAATGGTACGTCCAAAGAACACTTCCCTTCCCAAAAATAATTATCTAGGCAATGAACAACCAGTCGAATCGATGACTTGCAATGTAGTAACTTCAATTTCTATTGGAGAAATTCCTATCGTGATAAATCAAATAATAGTGTCGAGTGTATCATCAAAAATGGTGGTATCTTTACCACAAGTAACGAGTATGCAAACTACCCTTTAGGCCGCGCAAAAATGTGATAGGAAACCAAAGGCCTCATTTCCCTTTGAGTTTCATGTTACCTCTAATTGGTAGAGAACAATCTTATGGCATGCCACCTACGATAATGGCAAGAATGCACCCTAATGCATATGTGTATGCAGATGATGTAATGACTACTGCATCACCTATTAACTAATACTTAGCGTCAGGGTCTATTATTAATAACCTTGGTCGAATGGCACAACCACCAGGAGGGTTCACATATATTCCTCCAGGTATGTCATCTTTAACTAATAATTCTCTCTAGTTTGTGAGACAATAGATGGACGAGAGTAATCATGAAATGGTTAACATAAGAATTTGTATGCTCGCGCATGGGAGACTTAAGCATTTGTTTGTTTGTGATAGAATGGATGCGTTTGGATTTTATTTTAGCAGTTAAATGTTGCTTATATGCTTGCACATGGGAGGCTTAAGCGTTGTTTGTATTACAGTAGAACGAAAATAACATATCCTTTTGGAAAGGTTTTGAATGTCGTAAGGCAAAAAATTGAATTTGATTGGTTGTGATTGATTTTAAGGTAGGAGACAAGCATCAGACCACAAGTTAAGTATGGTCGGAAATCCGAGTACTTGGGGTTTGAAAGGACAATGGTATCATAACCTCTCTTTTTCATCCAAAGAGTTTTTATCTATGAAATTTGTGGGACGAGTTTAATCGTTGGTACTTAGAGGGAGACAAACATCTAACCACAAGCTAAGTACAGACAGCAATCAGAATACTCAGGGGCTGAAAGGACAATTCATCTTGATCTCTCTTTTTCGCCCTATGAGGACCAGATTAAACTAGTTTTATTTTAAGTGTTTTGAATGGAAGACAAGCATCAGACCACAAGCTAAGCATGACTGACAACCCTAATACTTAAGAAATGGTATGCACAAGTACGCACACCCATCCTTTTTCATCTAGTTTGTTGTAAAAAAAAATTAAAAATGACTTGACGTTGGATCAAGTGTTTGAAGGTTGAAATTAAAATTTGTGTGAATGAAATAGGAGAGGTACTTGACGT